GTTGAATTCGCCTTGTTGAGCAAAAAACGCTTCGGAGTCAGTCAAGGCAGTGATGCAGGACCTATCAAGTTGTATTAATGAACTGTATACAGAGATAACTCACGGAAATAGGAACATCGCTCCTTCCAGCCGATGGCCTTGCGCAAAATTCCAGGAACGGTAGCTATTTCCGCGTCAGAATTCTTACCTTAATCCCAAGGCGAATCTTTCTACTAACCATAATCTCCCTGGAAATCAGCGCAAAGCCGTTGAACTAGGAGGAGGGGGTTCTTATTTCCGTTTGTTCTCTCACAGTCGTACATGCGGGTACAACAGGCTCTTTACTTCGCGTCATTCACTCCGCGCACCAACAGTCTGATGTGTTAAAATGAAAGAGGACAGTGAATCCGACCCTGGGAAATGCGCAACCATGGCAAATCAACGCACTCCTAAGTAAAGTAGGTCCGATGCCCTTCAGTAAATCACTATGGGCTGCTTGATAGGATAGTTCGGTGGTTTTCAGGATAGGCGACGATGACTCCTTACTGTGGCCTTTATAGTGTAATTGCCCTTACGCGTGCTGTCTCATATGATGGGTTCAAATGAGGATGCGAAACGTCAAATTAAAAAATATACTTCACATCTTTTTTTTCTAATCTGCTTTTTGAAACTTTTCATTGGCTCCTTCCTATCTGAGCTGGAGGAGTGAGAGAGGAAAAAGGGTGGTAGGTGTTACGCCAGTTTGCTTCACTATACACCAATTCTCCCACATGTCACCAATGTAGCGCCCGTTCTATTGGGCATGGGTGGACGTCGTCGTTTTTGACGGTTGAACTGTCTTGGGTTGGGGGATATGTAGATGGTTAAACGTTTCTACTATCCCCGACTGAACCGCCTGTCTCAGTGATCACGTAAGGATGACACTGATCACGGAAGCAAGCACGCACATGTGGTTTTTCTTTGCATCTGTCGAAACATCTGTAATCGGTATGGGAGATGGCAAAAGATCCCATCAGACACATTCTTTCATGCAGACTACCCTATAGATTCGGAATCTAGTCACCGCTAAGCGGTTTTTGTCACAATAGCTTAACGCGAACGGCCAACTTGTTTTTTTAATCACATCTCTAACTAATTAATGTGCAATTGGCGGACACTGAAATTGCAAAACTGTACGACTTAGTTGCAGTAGGCATGCCTGGAATGAAACCCGTCCCACACGTTATTTCGCCCTCGCACTACCCTACGATTACGGCTCTGGCAGGGGACTGGGCAATGGTATGAACTAACGAAAGTGGGTGAATGTAGGTCTCAAGCGCGGATTTGTTTTTAAAGTCAACGATTTGTGTGCCTATCTTCCCAGCTTGCTGGCTCTGGGGCTGGGATCTGAAGCCAAGTGAATTCAGCCCATGGGTCGCTTCGGACATGGGATCATTCTTCATCATGGAGTTTACAACCATAAAGATGCACGAACCCGTTCAGCTACACTTTTTGCACTGGTTATCCTAGTCCGAATAAGGCTGGCTTAAAGATAAGTGCTGCATTCACGCTGTGCCATGGACGGCTTCTGGCGAGGGCCACCTCTCTTTGGCTATCATGCGTTTTATAACGCCTAGAAGCAGGCCTGCCTGAGGAGTCTAAACAATTTCTCACAAGGAACCCGCGAGATTACCTCTGTCTCTAGCCTCGCCGGTGAAGCGGAATGGACTTTGCTCCTAGTAAATTTGGATTTAATTATCGATATTGCGATTCGTTTGGCTGAGAAAACTGCATTGACAACTTGACTGAACGTTTCTTGCGATATTGGAATTACTTTCTTTATAAGAATTCATTACTTCCTCCGCTTGAGCCACTTCTTTATGTGGCTACACATGTTCTATCATCGCATCCTGAATTCTAAACCGAAGACTCGTTATTATCTGCCTTCCTTCCATTTCGCCACCACTCCACGACAATTAACTTCTTACTACTTTGGACGTACTGCCAGCAAAAGAAAGAGAGGTTTGAAGGAGCGGTTCGGTCTGAGTTGGTATCATCAACTTGTCATAACCCATTTCCAGCTCAGGATCATCTGAAATCGCATCTTATTTTCGATGGATTTATGACTTTACTAGCTGGGTCGTTGGCTCATCCTCAGTCGACTGTGATTGAGAATTGTTGACGGGACAAGCAGAGCGACATACACTGCTCGTATGGGATTTCGGAGGGAAAAAGAAGCGTTAAATTGTGCCTTTAAACTCCATTGTCCTGATAGATTATAAACAGGTACTCCCATAGGGGACAAATAAATAATCGATAAGAATTACCGTCGAGGACAGCGTTGACACATTTACCGTCAGCAGCAAACCCCATCATCGCTATTTGTCTGAAAGACTCGGCTAAGCATTTGTTTGAACTCCCCGGTTATTGAATCAAGGATCCGACTTCTATAATTTGTGCTCGAGAAAACGACTTATTAAAATCCCACCTATCCCCAGTCTCAGGTGGGGTTTTAGTCAGCTGCGTACGGAGAAAGGTAAGAAATGGACGTCTCAGTGTCTGTTTTCGCTATCGCTTGGCGACTTCAGGTAACTGCCGGCTGGGGTCGGGAACATGTAGCTCGCGTGCCACGTGTGGTTCTTTTCATGATTGCGTCTGGCTCTCTCAGATAAAAGTGGAATTAGGAACTGCAGATTTTGTGATATCCAGAAGCTTATTATATTCATATTTATATATGGCTCCCACCTAAATATATTTAAAAATATTTGCTTTCTTGGCTCTCTGAGTCAAAAGGTTCCCGACCTCTGCTCTAACACTTGAACGAATATTGATAATTGCCGCAGTCAAACTGAACTTCGCTCCCCGGTGTAACACCAGCCATTCGTTGCTTGTTCAGGCCTGGCCAAACTGTTGCTGAATCTTTTGTTCTGCGTTCAACTAAAATTGGACGCCGCCCGTTTCTCTTCTCTCTCCCTCCGTCCAGTG